TATTAGGAATGGAGAGTAGCATTCTGATTTCTGCCAGGTCCAGGTGCCATCCCCCTGCGCCACCAATTTGCAAATTGCAATTCAGGTAACGATTAGAACTTTTCAATTTGTGATTTCTTTTACATTCAATTAATTAATTATTAGAGTATTTATTAATTGTAAATATTAACTGATTCATCCGAATTCCACATATAAATTCGAAATTGATTAATTGAAATTTATGAACGAGTTATTTTACATCCAATTTATTAGTTGTTATTTATTAATTGTATTAAATTTGAATTTTGTGTTATACACCATATATTCTTTCTAATTTCTTTGAAGTTATTCATTTATCAAATTCAGTCTGAAACTTGTTCTATTTAAGTGGTATTTCCATATATCTCTGCTCAACGATGTCACAAGAAAGATTAAGTGGACTGACTATGTTATAGAAAAAAGAGTGTTATCTACTTTTGATTGTAGTGATGTACTTACAAATTTTGCACATGATGAAAAGACAAGAAGAATATGTTATTAGATACTCCCTCCGTCCCATTTTGGTTGTCCTACTTTCCTTTTTGGGTTGTCCCAAAATGAATGTCTTGTTTCCTTTTTTGGCATGAAATATGTGGTTCTTATTAATTCACTTTATTCTACTCAAATCTCAACCACAACTTTTACTTTTCAACCACTTTATTAATAATCGTGCCAAATTGAAAGTGGACAACCATTATGGGACGGAGGGAGTAGTACTTTTATATTTTATTTCTTAGAATCATTTACTGTTTCTAACCAATTTTTATATCAATTTTGCACATCAAAAGACAAGAAGAATACTTTTATATATATCAACTTTAAGTCAAGTATTACTTTTTACATTTAGTAAAAAAAAGTGTTATAATTCCCTAATTACATCATGTTTAATTTGTTATTAACTTTACGTACTATGTGATCTCGTTGGTTATTTTTTGTCTAGGGCATCAAAACTCCTAGAGACGGCCCTGCCGTTACTATTTTTTCTTTGCGGTTGGTTAACCGTACCACAAGTCTTTAAAAACGCGGTACGGTTAACCAAAAAAATACCGGTTACGCGGTTATGGATTTTTATGCCCACCCCTACTTACCATATGCTGGTATATGGTTTTCCTTTATGAGTAATCTTTTTGACAGAAATGTTTTTTGTGTGTGGGTGCAGCATAACATACATTTTCTTCAGGAAGTGCTACAAAACAAAAAGTCAGATCTACTAGAGTGGTGCATCATAGTTTTACTGAGTTTAGAGAACAATAAGAACATTGTTTCTGCATATGAGATTCTTCACCAGTCAACTGTTGTTCCTATGTAAACATGTATGTACATATATGCACATAACTTATTCTTTTTAGCATATGAGAAAAAACAATCACTTGTATTTGGTAATCATAAAAAGGGGGATGAGTATAAAATGGAAAGGGTCCACCACTGTTTGGTTCCTCCTAACGTGAGAAGAACCCAAAAGAAAACTCAATTTTGTTCACATATTTGCCCCCATTTGCTCTTTCCTTTTTATTTTTATTCTCCTTAATGGGGATATTTTTGCCCTATTACAAATAAAATCGTTTTTCTTTTATTCAAATATCTCTTCTTTCTCTGATATTTATTGCCTTTCTCATATACGAAGTATAAAACAACACTAACATTCTTTTCTCTTTCCATCATCTTATTTGCTTACAAATCACAATCGAGCAAATCAAAAAATAATTTATTAGCCATTTTTGTCCATAAACACTTCTGCCTTGTGATAAGCTGTCTTCAGACATCTTCGTAGCCTTTTAGGATCTAATCTTACATCTTGGTGTTTTAGTGATAGGAAACGGGCATATTATTAGCATTAGTATAATAATAATAATAATAATAATAATAATAATAATAAAAATAATAATAATAATAATAATAATAATAATAATAATAATAATAATAATAATAATAATAATAATAATAATAATAATAATAATAATAATAATAATAATAATAATAATAATAATAATAATAATAATAATAATAATAATAATAATAATAATAATAATAATAATAATAATAATAATAATAATAATAATAATAATAATAATAATAATAATAATAATAATAATAATAATAATAATAATAATAATAATAATAATAATAATAATAATAATAATAATAATAATAATAATAATAATAATAATAATAATAATAATAATAATAATAATAGAATTCTAGTATATAATTGTGATAGTATAATAATAAAGCTACTGGGCCAAGTAAGTCTTGTGTTTGGCCAAGTAATTGTGATAGTATAATAATAAAGCTACTGGGCCAAGTAGGCAGATTTTGATTTGGGAATTTGGGATCTGGGAGAGTAGAGGCCTCTCGAAGTGCCCTGTCTTATCTTCTGCTTCTTTCTGCAGTTTACCTCAATAATAATAATAATAATAATCAATTTACTATTACAAAATAAGAGTTCTTATCAATGGTATCAGAGCGTTCATCCTGGTGATCGGAAATCTTAGCACGACTTCCTCAAGTTCTCGTTTTGGTGGTAGATGGACAGAACCAGAGCTAAAATGGAGATTCGCTTGGATAACTTGGAGCGAAAGATACTAGAGGTACAATCGGAATCCAAGGAGGACAATCGGATAGTGAGGGACGAATTGCGTGCAGCAATGGAGGCCTTGGCGACAAGCGTGACGACTTCCATTACCGAACTGCGAGAGGAGTTTCGATCTCATCGCCATTCATCATCGCGAGTCGATTCTCTCAGTTCGCAGAAGTCTTCGCCAACAACATCCTTCAGTTCGCAGATGCGAACTAGTTCTCCCAGATTATCAAATACGGCGCAGGTTTCTTCTCCTCACCGATCAACATCGCGAACGGCTTCAGATTCATCGCAAACTTTAGTTTCCAGTTCGCAGATATCGTCTCAGTGGCTGACATCGTTTCATCGGTCCCTGAGTTCAAAGCTATCATATCTTTCCAGCTCGCAAGGGTCTACGCAAGTAGCTTCACACAGGACGCAAACCTCACCAGTCCTACAGGAGTCATCCACGTCCAGAGCCTCAGACCACTCTGAATCAGAAAATGGATCACCAGGAACTCAGCCGCCTACAATGACCACTGAGTTGACGACAGTTGTACCATCAGTTCTGGAACCTGATAAAGACGATGATCTTATTCAATCTTCGGGTAAGGAATTGTCTAAAAGTGCTGATGTTGCTATTGTTGAAGTTCATCAGGATCCTATTCCTGAAATTTTTGTTGCTACAAGAGGTAGTGGCTCTAGTATAACGGGAATGGGGGAAGAAAACTTCCCAGACCTGGAGCCCTTGTTGCTAGATACTCTCAAATCTGAGGGCACCAATGTTGGGCTCTATTTGGTAAGTAATAGGTGTGAAGAGATTGAACTGCATGTATCAAATTCGGCCTATCACTGGGTACTTGAGAACGTCAGTAAGGTTGGAGTATTGATTATTGACAAGCACAGAAATAAAAAGGTGTCTCTGCTAGTCCCTATTTAAAAAAATTACTTGAACAGAAGGGCATCAGATCAAGATAGATATGAATTTGTGGTAGTTTCTCTGAGATACAATGATTCTGAGATGTTCAAAGACAACTTTATTACTAAGGCCATGCCTTTGGAAGAAAAAGAATTTGTACTTGTAGCAAAAAATGATTCTCCAGGAGTGCATGAACTGAAATCTCAGAGATCAGGTTTATCCAGTGAAGGAGCAATTCAGGGAGTGAGATTTCCTTTGAGCATTGATACATCAGATTCATCTCCAATTTCTTGGAGAGGTGAGAAACATTTTCTGAAGGTTCAAAATCAAGATGATTGGCTGCCAGTGATTCCCATCATTGATGCTCTGGAAATTTTAGAGCCACCGGAAGGAATAATCCTCCAAGGTGATAACCTCAGTGAGATCCAGGAGGCTTTTCAACCATCATAAAAGGAATTATTACAGAGGTTGACTGATTGGCTCTGTGATCCTTTTAGGACTAAAACTCCTCCAATTATTTCGGCCTTATATTCTGATATGCCTGAGAGCCTATGGACACACAAAATGCTGGTTGAAAGTCTGCTCCGTCAGGTGTTGCAGCACCTTAGTCAGTTAACTGAGCACTCTAAACTTCCTATGTTGAGAAAGGCTACGAGATATATTGCGAATCTCCAAATTCTGGACAACGAAACATATGAAAAGGCTGTGAAACTCTTAGAGAAGTACACGGCTGAGGAAGTGATCATGATGAAGGTTCAAATGCTGAAACTCTTGTTCCAGCTATCTGTGCGGTACTGGGAAAGTGGGATGGAAGGGGTGCAAGAATGAAGTGGAAGTTGAAGATCATGGCTATTCCCTATCACCCACCGACAAGGTGGTTGTTTAGGGGGGAGTATTGATAGGAAACGGGCATATTAGCATTAGTATAATAATAATAATAATAATAATAATAATAATAATAATAATAATAATAATAATAATAATAATAATAATAATAATAATAATAATAATAATAATAATAATAATAATAATAATAATAATAATAATAATAATAATAATAATAATAATAATAATAATAATAATAATAATAATAATAATAATAATAATAATAATAATAATAATAATAATAATAATAATAATAATAATAATAATAATAATAATAATAATAATAATAATAATAATAATAATAATAATAATAATAATAATAATAATAATAATAATAATAATAATAATAGAATTCTAGTATATAATTGTGATAGTATAATAATAAAGCTACTGGGCCAGGTAAGTCATGAGTTGGGCTGGCCCTTTTGTTTTAGTATAAGAAGGAGAGGGAGGAAAGGGGAAAGGTAGGCAGATTTTGATTTGGGAATTTGGGATCTGGGAGAGTAGAGGCCTGTATCTTCTGCTTCTTTCTACAGTTTACCTCAATAATAATAATAATAATCAATTTACTATTACAAAATAAGAGTTCTTATCATTTAGATAGATATCCATAATATGAGTGGCCAACCTCCTCTTTGAAGAGCCAATGGATCATTCAAAATCTTGCTATCGTTTCCATACTTCTCTGCTAAGCTGCTCTCGTATGTCTTGGTCTTATATTCCATGTAATCTAGCCCCAAGACTCTTGCGGGAATTCCATAACAATATTCCGATACATCCTCGGCTCCGATTGGAATGATTTGAACGAACACTGAACCAGGGCGTAAAAACATTGCATGCGTTAGTCCAGCACCATGGACCCCAATCATTGCATGGCTCGAGTTTACTAATGCGAATGCTTCTTTTAAGGATGTTTTTCTTGTGAGTTCAAATAATATTACCTGAAATCCTGTATTCTCTGCTATCCTTTCTACTTCAGGCTCATTCAGCATTGCACGACCAACAGTCTTATTGCGACTCATTAGCACGAGGCGCGGCTTAGTTGTGACGTTGGGTCCCACACCAATGTTCCTATTGACGATGCGAGGAACAAAGACTTGTTTGTTGTATGCCGTGGCTAATAGCGTGTGAAAGTCAACTAAGGTTTTTGAAGTTTGGATTAGTTTTGGATTAATTGTCATTAAACCATGTTTGATGAGACCGATTGAGGCACCAGGAAAGCAATGTGAGCTGTTGTCTTTGTCCGAATCTATGATTTGGTGCTTGCTAAAACTCTGAAGTAAGCCCTTATACTTCACCCACCAATCTTTCATTTGGGAGATTACCAAAACAAAATCTTGATCGTAGAACACGGAATTAGCGGTGATGAAAAGCGGGATGAACACATCATTGAAGTCATGGAAAAAGTTTCCAGTGTCCTGCACTGAATACAAAAGCTGGGGCAGTGTGGTGAACGGCACACGTTGATGTGTTCAATGGCCCTAATTTGAGTCACTTCCCTGATATTGTACATTGTGTATCTTTCCGGTTTTCTTGCATATGGTCGGACCTTCTCAACTTTGTAACTTGGACTGTAATTTGCCCCATACCAGTCCAGACCAGACCAGACCAGACCAGACTTGGATAGTTATAAAAATACAAAGAAATCAGACCTTACCAGACCAGACCAGACCAGTTCAGACCAGATCAGACCAGTTCAGACCAGACCAGATCAGATCAGATCAGACCAGACCAGCAAATTACAGTCCAAGTAAAAACATCCTTAGGCCGTTGGGGTCATTGACTAAGAAGGTTGACTCGGATGACACAAATATCGTTGATCCGGCAAATGTCGTATAAATCTTGTGATCTATTGCATGCCATTTTACTCTTGTTTTTAGGCTCTTTCAAAGGCAGATGAACTCGTCCGATGTGCTTTCTACATTCACAGGAATAATAATAATAATTATTGAGAGTGATATATATAAATCATCTAAAAGTTTCACAATAAATCAATACTTCAAAAGCATACATAGATTCATTCTAACATAGAAGCAACTAACACATGTAGGGGTGGACTCAGGCCAGTTCGGGCCTGGGCCCGGCCGGGCCTCGGGCCAGAAAACTAGGGCCCGAGCCCGAACCGCCGGTGGCCGGTTCCGGTTCCGGGCCAAACCGGTCCATATTTTTTTTTAATTTTGGTTCTCCTATTTAACCCCCTACCCCTTCCCAAACCACCTCAAATGGCCCAAAATACCTAATCCAACCTAAAACTTAAAAAAATTTCAAAAAAAAAAAAAATAAAATCCGACCCGGACCGGGCCCGAACCGGCCGGGCCGGTTCACATAAAGCAGGGCCCGAGCCCGGACCGCCCATCACCCGGTCCGGGCCAAACCGAACCGATGGACCCCCCGGGCCCCGGGCCAAACAGTAACCGGGCCGGTTCCGGGTCGGGCCACCCGGCCCGAGTCCACCCCTAAACACATGCATTTCTAAAAAATCAACAGGTTCAGGGACGGATCCAAGATTTCAAGTCAAGGGGGACGATAGGAAAAAATATACCAACATTTGATTTATCTTTTACCAATGTGCAGCCAAATATACAGATTAAAACATTACAACAAAGCAAACAAGGAAAAAATAAGGAACAAACCTTTTACTAGAAAGATACCAGTTCAATCCGAATAATCATATCAAAATTTTGAATTCACAAAAAATAAAAGTAAATATCAGGAAAAATTAATTCTCAACACCAAAGATCAATCGACAAAGACCTCCGAATTCTTGATTTTGAATAAAGTTGATTTGGAGCTTCTCTAATCGTTGGCTAGTCGTCATTTTCATTAAAACATCGGTTTTGTGCGGCTTGTGCTCGCCAGACGCTTTGGGTGATGACTTTTAATTCATCAATGGTGTTTCTTCATGAAATTTCCGCACGAGCTTCTTTCGTTGCCGATCTTCATCTCCCTCCCATGGAGATTTTTCGGCGCTGATTGTCCACTGAAATGGTCTTTCTCAGCTGCTAATCAAGAATAGTAGGCGAAGTCGAGAACAACTCATGACCGGTATTCCATCAGAACTTACTAAGGACGAACAGAGCATCAAGAGAAGAAGAGAATGGATCGCAGGGTGACATATTTTTTTTTATTCAAAGTTGCCCGTATATTAAAAAGTATAGAGTTTGAATAATTTACCGCAATTGCCATTAATGAGAGCAGCGGTCTCTAATCTGATCGGACGATGGGTGTTAGTTCTCTAATCTTAATGAGAGTGCACGTTTTGAACTAATCTAACGGTGTAGAATACTTCTCACTTTTCAACTTAACCCACACTTCTCATGAGATCTTTTCTCTTTAAAAGTAGAATCAATCGCAAACAACATTAGAGACATGAGCAATTTATTTTTAGAGAGACGTGTTTTTATTCAGTATTCTGTTTTCGGATTTTCAATAGCAACCCTAGCTCTGATCAGAGAAATATCTTCTTGAGGATTAATCATGCCACAAAACACCTTAATTATAAAAAAAATTCCAAAGAAATTAAATTTCCAGTGACACCAATATGATCATGAGTTTTGAAATTCAAGAAAATTTTGCAACAATACTCCCCCTCAGCTATCTATATGACAATACTCCCTCTGTAGTCTGTACCAACGAGCCCTTATGGTCTTCTACTCGATGTTATGGGTCTTTTACCTTTTACTTCACATAAGATATTTATTTTGTACAGAAGGGAATGTGACTTCTACTCGAAGCTTGTTGTAACTTGCAAATTATCTATTATTATTATAATCTAAAAGCAAAATGATTTTGGGTTGAGTTTTCCCTCTCAAAAGTGTCAACATCAAGTGAGTCATCAATTTAATTTGTTAAAAAATGTAAAAAAATGTGTTTGTAACATTGAGCTTGCGTAAGACTCTATGGTGACACTGTTGCATTTTAAATGCATGGTAACAGTGTTCCCTCCAAGTTTTAAGTTGTTTCTATTGGGTGATGTTGAGGTGCAAACAGTAATTTAGATTCTCACATTTATTGGTACAATCAGGATGATTACATGCCCATTCTAAGACCATTTGTAGTGGTTAGGAGGCTAAAAAGTTAAAAATGGACTCCGTCTATATGAAAACAGTGTTTAGACTCTTATTTCTTGCATTTCAGCACCGTCAATAAAATACATTCAGCATATTTTTCACATATCAATTTAGTAAAACATTAGTTAAATCATCATAAGTAATATTTTCAATTTACTTTTTTCCCTAAATAATTATGAAATAAAAAACACATATTTCGATGTAATAATAAATCAATTTCATTAATTTTTTTTACGTTTTTCGGTTAACAAAAAATGAATTTAGTCCAAGTAAAATTTTATTATGGAATATTCAGTTATGTGTAGAGGCTCCATGAATTAAAAATTTGTGTCTTGTGTTTTTTCAAGGCTCAAGAAAATTCCAATAGTTAAAACATAAGATTTTTTTTTTCATTTTATATATTACATGTTGGTGTCATATGAAAGACAATAAAAATTCGTAAATTTTGATATATCTTTTGAAAAATTTGGAGAACAAATAAAAAAATTATAAGAGTTTTAAAAAATTTGGGATTAAAATGATGCAGGGATGACATCATCCTCACATCCATAGAATGCATTCTTGGCCATTCCCTTCCCTATTTCTTTTCTTTTTCTTTTTTCCACTCCTACCAACCCACCCTTTATTTCTAACACCCTCCATCCCCTCTTCCATTTTTAATACCCTATTTAGCCTGCCACTACATGAAATTAGGAGTCCAAAAGTAACATCTTTAACATTTTGGACTCCTAATACTACACCACTCCAAATGGCCTAACAAGCATTACATACGGATAAAAATGAATATAAAAAGGAGAAATATCTAGAGAAAGGTTTCAGATATAGATGTTCTCTATAGTGAATAGTCCTATCGGCCATGATCTCAGAATCTTTCCTCCTGTAAAAAAACCCAAAAAACAGCCAACATGTTAATTAGACACCGTATATATATAAATAAAAAATCAAAACAAATCTTCATAGAGGCCCCCCAAATATTTCTATAAAAAAAATCATCAGCAAAATCAGATGGCACTTTTGCACTCAACCTCCTCAAGGAGGTTATAAATAGCCTCTTATGCATAAAGTATTGCTCTCAAAAATCGAAGCTCAGAATTCATATGTAAGTTATTCTTACTAACTAGAAAATTCATTTTTAGGCATACATAGATGTGTTGTAAATTGTAATCATATATGTTTTCTACTCTCATACATTAAGCTTTATTTATGTGTTCTTTTTTTTTGGCAGGGTGCAAAAATTCAAAAACACAGTGCATGGTAAAGATATCCATCGAAGATGGGCCATTTGTACATAATTTCAAATCAAAATCCATCCAAAAGGAGTTCTTTTGTGTGCTTGCTATAGAAGAAGATTTGAAAAGTTCATATATTCTTAAGTTTATATGAAAGAAGATCTATAGGTCTGTGAAATCCCTAGAAACTTTAACATGTTAGATAGGTACTTCATCAATATAATATGGGACATCTGAATTATGCCAAGAATTTCTTCCATTTTAGTAGAAGTTATTATGGAAAAAGTGCATTCTTACGAAGTACAGTATATTGAATCATTGTCCTGAGTTATGTGTAAGATATCTACATCAACAAAAGATAAGATACATTCCTCAACATAGTTATACTTTCATATGTTACAACAAAACAGTCATGTATAATAAAGGTTAACATATTGGGGAACACAAGTATCACATCAATCTATATAGGACAGTACGTTTCTGTGTGTACAAAGAATAACTACACTCATATATACATGACCTTGGTGTACTTAAATTAGTGAAAGATTATAGTCCAAAAAACAATTTAATTTATTGGTGAAGGCTGAGGCTAAATCACCTTTTGTTGGCAATGTAAAGTTCATTTGGTTCTTCCAATGAGGCAATGTTGAATCGCTTCTTCACGGTTGCTCCCATGGTGATTTTCAATAAAGATACATTACATAGTTAGAGGTGTTAATGCATGAAGAAAGTAAGAGCCAAAAAAAATTGCATACATGTCTGTTGTATATGATTTTTGTCTATTTTCTAAATTTTAAAAATTTATAGAACGGTTTGGAATTATATTTTCTTTGTTATACTTCATATTTCCTTTATTTTCAATATTCTGGAATTATATTTTATTTTTTATATTTCGTTTATTTTTGAATATTCTGGAATTATATTTTCTTAATTTTGAAATTTTAGTTTTTTCTGTATATTTGCAATGGAGCCAAAGATTCATTATTTGTGGCTTGAGAATATGATGGAATAAAGCAAAATGGCTCACTAAACTGTATGCGCTTCTTTGTTATGAAGCAGCAGTCAGTCCATGCAATTTTGGACGCGATTTTCACTGTGGGTCATCCGGAAATAGTCTCTCTGTGCTTCAGTACAGGGGTAAGACTGTGTACATCCGACCCCCTTTACCCCACCGTAGGTGGGAGACTTTGCGGCACTGGGATAAATGAAAATGAAAAATGAAAGTTTTTTATGTATATTGTACTTCATAGATCTTCTAAAAAACAGAATAAGTTTATGTGATTTTTTAAATGTGAAAATTTAGAATTAAAAAACAAGTAGGAGAACGTTCATTTCTGAGTTTTTGGGTTTCGTGTTCATTTTAAAGGGAAAAATAAAATAAATTTCTTCAAAAAATATATGGATAACATGGATTATTATGAGGAATGAAATCTGAAATACGCTCAGAATTTTGTTCTCCTGTCTAAAATATCCTATGTACATCCTTTTGAAAGATATATCATGTGTGTATCTAAAATTACATTCCGTAATATTTTTGTAATATTTACGGCTTGAAGTGATGTATAAACATCAACGAAAAAATAATGAAAGATTACTTAAACATCTTTCAGATCTACCTCTGTGAATCGTTTATTAAATATACAATACCAATGATAATATTTTCCCAAAAACTACTTAACCAAAGATATGGTAAAATGTAGGACAGGGTTTTTGTTCTTACCGTTGTCAAATAACTTTGAACGGCTGAAAATCGGGAGCTGACAGACTATTCGTTCATTCGAGAGTGAGATCTAATATGTTTATGAGAGAGCCTCTCCTAAATATAGCAGACCTCAGACCGACGATTTAGGGCGGCACACTAAGGGAAGAAATGAAGAATAGGTTTCGAGGAGAAGATTGCTCAACTCATGGGGTGCAAAAGTGTGGAGAATCCGACGGTTAGGGCAGCTGGGGAAGATTAGTAATTTTTGCTGTGAGGGTTGGATCTGGAAGTCACGCGTGCTGGAGGATGAGTAGTACGGAGTATTTGGCATTAGAATTAGGAGTATAGGATTCGAGATGTTGGTTTGGGAGTGTTCATGGCCTTATTTGTTGGGCTTGCTTTATCTTTAAATTAATGAGCTATTCATGAGTACTGGCCCAAATTTAGATAATCAGGTGATGTGAAATGGGTATCCAAAATTTTTACCGAAGATTTGTTATGGATTTTGAAGAACAAAAATGCTATTGCTACCCCCATTTTGTACCCCATTTTGTACCCACCCCCTATGTTTGTGGCTCACAAATCACTTCATTAAAATGGAGCAATTCATTTAATGTGTTAGACTTTTGTGAGCTACACAAATAGAGTGGGGTACAAAATGGGGTACAAAATGGGGTACAAAATGGGGTATTTATAGCAAAGGAAGATGGTTAAGAAAGGAAGATGGACTCACGTTAGGGAATTACTTGAATTTTAACGGGATAAAATATCACACTCGACGAAATGATGAATAATATATGAGCCCGTTTGGTAGCACGAAAATCGGTTGATTTGGCTGATACTGTTGAAATTTATGAAGTTTTGACTGAAGTGACTGCATTGGCTGATTCTGCTGATTTAAGAAAAAAAAATTAAATATGTTTTATTCAATGTTCTAAAAGGCGCTAGGCGCTAGTCGGGCGCCAGCACAACGCCTAGCGCCTAGGCGGCTAGGCGGGCGCCTAGGCGGGGATTAATCAGTGACATAAAAATTGTAGTTTTATTAATATTTTGCATAAATATGATTAATAATGTTGTGTTTATGTGTACATAAAATATAAAACACATACATACACACACTAACATGCATGAATAATAAGAGTTTTCACACTTAATAACATATTATACATACTTACTTCTTAACTTCAAGTAATACTACGTAATAATTATTAATAAATAATAATAACACTTAAGAATATATATAAGAACATGCATAGCATTTATATTAATCTACAATTAGTAGTTTTCTTCATATACGTGGTAACAGTTAAAGATACATATATCTCTTAGAATACTAAAATAAAATGTTCGATAAATCTAGATGTCTAGGCGGCCGATTAAGCGCTCTAGGCGGGTAGTTAGGCACCTTAGGCGGCCGACTAATTCACCTAGGCGCCAAATCAATTAGTCGGAGCGCCTAGACTAAAATCGGGGCGCCCGACTACCGCCTAGCGCCTAGGCGGGGACTAGTTGGGCGCCTAGAGCGATTTTTAGAACCATGGTTTTATTAATAAAATAAAGAAAAAATTATATGTAACATAGCTAAAATGATCATCTACAGTAATTTCAGCCAATACAGCCAGAAAAGGTAACTCCAACCTTACTTTTTCTGCTTATTACACAATTCAGCACACGAAAACAAAAAATTACGTGTTTGGTGAAAAAGTTGGTTGATAAGCCTGATAAGCCGAAAAATAGTATTGCCAAACGACCTCTATATAACAGTGCAAATAGATTTGAGCCATAAATTAAATGGGTTGATGTAGATTTTTTTACCCTAGGGGGCGTCGGGGGAGAGGTTTGGGGGCCTGGGGTAAATTGGGATCAATCACTCTATTGACAATTGAACTCGGGATCTCCCATAAAGGAGAGTGAGTCGACGACCAGCTGAGCTGGACCGCTTTCTCATGGGTTGATGTAGATAACATATATCTCTTGGAATAATAAATCGGACATTTTCTAATTATTTTGGTTTGAACTCAAAGAATATTTTCAATGTGTTCTCTATTTTTTAGAATAATAATATTAATCCCTTCAAAAAGTAAAAACTCGAGATATTTATTTGTCTCCCATAATATTTTTTGAAACCTATTTTTATGAAACAATTACTTTGTAATACTTATGAAAATGCACTGTTGGGGTATGTTACCCCGGCCTACTACTGTTCAGAGGCCCAATACACCGCCCCGGTACGGGGCCCAATCGGCGAGGCCCGTTTAGGCCCCTCGGGCCCATTTAGGGCCAGTTAGGCCTACTCGGCCTACTTGGGCCTGTTTTGGCCCATTAAGGCCCATTAGCATAGCCCTAAAAACCCCCCTCCCCTTCTATAAATAGGAGGCCAAGCCTCCTGATTAAAGGATCTTTTGGCTCTCCTCCTCCATACTTCTTCTTCCCCTTTGATAGATAGCTTTATACCTCCATTAATGGAGTTCAAGAGTTGTAATATGTAATTGGTGAGGAGAGCATATTAATGAAAAAGAGCGGGCTTGGACGTTAGCCTAAAAAGTCCCGTGGTTTTCTCCCTTTCCGGGTTTCCACGTAAAAATAGCTAGTTCATACACCTTATATATATTTTATTTATGTTTATACCGAATCCATGGTCCTTAATATCCGAAGTTTATGTTGGGCTTCCGGATCTGCGGGACAAAACCTCAACATTGGCGCCGTCTGTGGGAAAAGTTCAAAAAGTTACATATGTTCTTGCCATCTCTACAAAAAATTGATCGAATGATGAATTGATTTCCAGCAAAGAAAAAAAAAAGCAGAAGAAATGATTCTGGAAAAAACTATGAGCGAAGAACTCCAGACTCAGTCCAGCAGATGGTCACCAAACCACGGCCCTGAGGTCTTGGGAAAAAGGTAGAAACCAAAGCGGAAGTAGAAGTCCCAAGGAGATGGTGAGTGGGACCCGTGAGCCCACTAGATTATCACTACAGAGGAAGTCCTTATTACTGTCACATGGGATGCCTGACACAACAACTAGAGGATGTGACAGATTCATCCTTATCCAAATAAGACAAGCACCTGCTTCCCGAACAGGAACTCCCAAGGTAGCAACTGCGCCCGATCACTCTGGAGGGGCCACGTACGTCAACGTCAACCGAAAGGAGTAACCCTGGCAAGCCCGAGCAGGACCATCGAATTGGTAGCAGCCCTATCGTCTAGCATACAGGAGCAATCCAGCCGTCCTTAGTCCCGAACGGCCATATGCGGAACGCGACGGAGTCAAGGTGCTCGGTCAGGCCAAAAGAATTCCCAACATCCCGAACAGGAATTTCAAAACTGCCTAACACGAAAGAATTCCCGAGCTGTGTAAAAGTAATGAGCCCTGACAGATGACCCAAGCAGCAGCGTTGCAGCAACATCAGTCTTCCACCTCGTCTCCGCGGGTAGTTCAAACCAAACCAGCACGGATGCCGGTCGAGAGCTTCAAAACTCGAACGGGCAGTAACATGCCGCTCAGGAAACTCAGCACGTGGATAGACCTTAAGGAAACAAGGCCCACCTACTCAATCGATTCCACATTATGCGTTGCAGATGTCCTGAACGGCAACTTTGACTGACAACTCTGCCCATCCAGCCTATGTATAGAATGTACTAAAATATTTTCAGGAAGGGTTAAGGTCCCGAGCAGAAACGCCCGAACGGACTCTACCCGGAGGGAAGCCAGGTCACTAGATTACTTTCTCTTGCAGAGCTCCTGGCCTAGAGTGTGAATCCTGTGGGACCTTGAGGAGCGGCTACACATATCAACAGAAAAGAGTATCCATCCCGACATAGCGAGGCCTGAAAGGGAGGTCTCTACGGAATGTCCAAGTATGGCCTGAACAAGAGTGGGAATGGTCTCGACAACCATATTCCTTGCCCGGAGCAGCCTGGACTTCCCTGGGATTCACAACCACGTTTTGCTCTAATCAAAAAATTTCCGCCCCGAACGAGAACCTCGGAACCCATCCAATTGAAGGGGCGGTGCCCCAACGTAGTTTGGCTTCGCCGGAATATCGGAGGACCCAAATGAACCTTCTCCCTGAACGGGAAATTTACACACCGGGGAGGGACTGGGAGGATGGAGTCTACATACCCGATATCTAAACTGGACGGGAGGATCTTGGGGTCCAGACCTGTCCCCCATCAACCGACCAGTATCCATTCAAGCAAGGATATTAAATCCCGTTCGAGCAACCACCTGCGACCGACCAGCCTCCGTTTCAGACAGGGATAACAAATCCCGTTCGAGCAAATCGGAAAGGATAAACAGGGGGGAACAACCTGGGTCTCTGGTCTGCCTCCGCGCGACACCCAACTAGGCCGCTCCTCTGGGCCGTGCGGCACTTGCCGCTCAAGATTCTGGAACACGGCCGCTCGGACTTCCCGTTCGGCACCAGGGACAGAGGGAGTATGTCAACGGAAGATGAAATTAGAAGGATGGGTTCCAGACTTTCCTTTGGAAGTCAAACTTAAAATGAAATTGGGCTGGATCTTACTCAAACATCCAAAATTCTCACCAGGACAATAATTTGGTCTGGCAGCTGAAATTCAGCCTGATTCAGCTAAGTACCATCATTTCTATCACTTGTTGATTCCATTTCAGTTAAATTGCATTGCTATTGTTACTTGCATCACTATTATTATTCGGGGCTTAAAATTGTCCCAATTAAAATAGTGTCGGGGTGAGGCTCGAATAATAAGTTCACCGTCATTTTCGGTATAAATGACCGGTGTTAGTACATCAAGCGCTACTACATGGCGATAATAGGGATTGAAATATCCCGAATAATATAATACCGAACGGGGCTCTATATATAAGATCACCAACGTCTTAATTAAATGTTTGGTTTGATTGAGCGTATCAGCCCGCCCCCGATCGGGCCAAATTAATTGGCTGAAGTGTCCTCGATGACGTATTTTACATTGAAAATAACTCATGGGCCCATTCGGCATTGGCGGTACATCCATGAAAATATTAAATGTAGTGATGTAGTAATATTAATATTAGTTACACATCGCCATGATTTGTTTTGTAGGGATTAGAAAATCCCGAGTTAAATATCATCGAGGAAAGCTCCAATGATAGATATTCGCCGTCATTTCAACCGAAAATGACAGGAATTAGGGATTAAAATTCCCGGACAGAATAGGGCCGAATGAAGCTCTAGTAATGAGCTCGCCATCATTTTTAGTTAAATAACCGGTGTTAAGGGTGAAAAACACCCCGAACGGAATAAGGTCGTGCTCTAGCAATGAGTTCGGCTTTAATAAAAGATCACCATCATTTTAATTAAATGATTGGTTTTACTGGGCATATCGGTCCACCCCCGATCGGCCTAAAGTAGCTAAAGCGTCTCGCAAGGGCATTGCCCGATGACGTATTTTGACTTGGAGACTACTCATGGTCTCGTTCGGCATTGAGTGCCCGAACAGCAACTGTACCCAGTACGGGGCGAAATACGTACTTGAATACCCGACAAAACACTAGGTGGTTCGAGTCGTGGACTCTAACAGATCAAGAAATGAATCTAGGCCAAGGGTTATCATTACCGCTTCGGCCGATAGTCATGGATGAAAAATAAAGAATAAAAGGGAAATGTTAAACATGTGTGTAATTGTATATACTTGTATATGTTGTTCGGCCGTACGGCCGTATTACCATGCTTACTGTGCAGTGAGATTCTTGAGATATTCTCGAACGGGAGGTCATGATTCACGTAGATGTTCATGACGATTCAGCATGAAACGCGTAGACGTTCATGCCCGACAACAAGAAAAGAATCACATTTATTCAAAGACGTTCATGACGCACAGAGATGTTCATGACGTTCGACGTGACGCGCAGAGACGCTCATGATTGGCAACAAAAAGAAGGAACATTTACATTTAGAGCCGTTCGGTCAGACCGGACGGGAAGATCGGGAAACGCCAAAAAAAAAAAAAAAGGGGAAAGGAAAGGGAAAAAAAAAAGGGAAAGAAAAAAAAAAGGAAAGGAAAAAAAAGAAAGGAAAAAAAAAGAGAGAGAGAGAGAGAAAAGAAAGAGTGAGGTTACTAGTGTGTAGAAGGAATCATGAACGATTGAGAAAAGAAGGGACTACAAATGTATAGATGTCACAACACATGAAGGGAAGTCCTATGGACTGTACGATACACGAGCTTTCAGATTACGCTACCTGACTGGCAATCCGGCCTCCGCCGTTCGGCACCTAGAGCAACATTATGGGCTGAGGGCGCCTGTAAGCCCCTCGGATTTACAGATCGGCCTCCCAGCGCCGAATTTTCTCTCACCACGACCGACTCTCCTGGCTCGGCATGGTGATCATTTGGAAGACCGGCCTCATCTCCGCTCCTCGCGGATGAGAACTGTTGATTATTTATTTCTGATCGGCCCCCAACGCCGACATCATTACATGGCCACCGACCCTCTGGTACGGTGCCATTATCATATTTGAAGACCGGCCTTGTCCCCGCACTGCGCAGATAAGGACCGTTACTTGTTCCTTTCCGATCGGCCTCCAGTGGCGACCTCATTACATGGCCACTGACCCTCTGGTACGGTGCCATTATCATATTTGAAGACCGGCCTTGTCCCCGCACTGCGCAGATAAGGACCGTTACTTGTTCCTTTTCGATCGGCCTCCAGTGGCGACCTCATTACATGGCCACCGACCCTCTGGTACGGTGCCATTATCATATTTTGAAGACCGGCCTTGTCCCCGCACTGCGCGGATAAGGACCGTTGCTTGATTTTCAGGTTGGCTTCTCATTGCCGACATCATCATATCACGATCGGCCTGTCGGCACTACGTGTTTATCATCTTTGAAAAGCGGCCTCGTCCCCGCACTGCGCGGATGAGAACCGTTGCTTGACTTTCAGCATGGCTACATTTTGTGGACCGCTGCCGCAGTTGCTGCCGCTGTCCTTGAGCAGAGGGCGCTCGCAAGACCCTTGGATTTATTCATGTCTTCATATCATGATCAGCCCCACGGCACGACATTATTTGCTTAGGAGGCATCTTCACATTCCGTAAAGTCTCACCTCGATCGATAGATACCACTTGTCTCGATCCATGGGGAGCCATCATCTCAGCACAAAAAAAAAAAAAAAAAAAAAAAAAAACGGACGGCATGAAGCGCGTAGACGTTCATGACTGGAAACAGGGAACAACCAGTCGACGGTAATGGACCGGAAGGCATGCATCTGAAACATGGTGCTCGGGGGCGCAGCAAGCGTTAAACATTGATGACTTGCGCGTTCAGGGAACAACCAGTCGACGGTAATGGACCGGACGGCATGCATCTGAAACATGGTGCTCGGGGGCGCAGCAAGCGTTAAACATTGATGACTTGCGCGTTCAGGGAACAACCAGTCGACGGTAATGGACCGGACGGCATGCATCTGAAACATGGTGCTCGGGGGCGCAGCAAGCATTAAACATTGATGACTTGCGCGTTCAGGGAACAACCAGTCGACGGTAATGGACCGGACGGCATGCATCTGAAACATGGTGCTCGGGGGCGCAGCAAGCATTAAACATTGATGACTTGCGCGTTCAGGGAACAACCAGTCGACGGTAATGGACCGGACGGCATGCATCTGAAACATGGTGCTCGGGGACGCAGCAAGCATTAAACATTGATGACTTGCGCGTTCAGGGAACAACCAGTCGACGGTAATGGACCGGACGGCATGCATCTGAAACATGGTGCTCGGGGGCGCAGCAAGCATTAAACATTGATGACTTGCGCATTCAGGGAACAACCAGTCGACGGTAATGGACCGGACGGCATGCATCTGAAACATGGTGCTCGGGGGCGCAGCAAGCATTAAACATTATGTCTTGCGCGTTCAGGGAACAACCAGTCGACGGTAATAGACCGGACGGCATGCATCTGAAACATGGTGCTCGGGGGCGCAGCAAGCATTAAACATTGATGACTTGCGCGTTCAGGGAACAACCAGTCGACGGTAATGGACCGGACGGCATGCATCTGAAACATGGTGCTCGGGGGCGCAGCAAGCGTTAAACATTGATGACTTGCGCGTTCAGGGAACAACCAGTCGACGGTAATGGACCGGACGGCATGCATCTGAAACATGGTGCTCGGGGGCGCAGCAAGCGTTAAACATTGATGACTTGCGCGTTCAAGAAACAAAGAACAACCAACAGAAATTAACCGAACGGCTTGCACCTCAATTTTGGTGCTGACCTGTGGCAAATGAAAAACAAACCGTCGTGCCTGGCTCTCTGGCGGGCTCGTCCATCCTTGCTCTGGGATGGCAACCGTCGCTCTTATGCAGCACGCACGGTCTCCACAGCACCGTCGCGCATGGCTCTCAGCTCGGTCGGGCTCATCCATCCTTGCTCTAGGATGACGACCGCCGCTTTATACAGCACGAACGACTGGCTTTTCGGCGCCTTCGTGCCTAGTGCGGGATTGCACCTCACTTAGGGCTTATGCATGCCTTGCGTCCGAGATTATTCCAAGACTCTGATTCAGGGAAGGCAGGGAAGGACGTGAGCAGGATTATACTTTCTCGAGTAGATTTGCAGGCTCACTACTCAAGAAACTGGGGGACTTGTGTTGGGGTATGTTACCCCGGCCTACTACTGTTCAGAGGCCCAATACACCGCCCCGGTACGGGGCCCAATCGGCGAGGCCCGTTTAGGCCCCTCGGGCCCATTTAGGGCCAGTTAGGCCTACTCGGCCTACTTGGGCCTGTTTTGGCCCATTAAGGCCCATTAGCATAGCCCTAAAAACCCCCCTCCCCTTCTATAAATAGGAGGCCAAGCCTCCTGATTAAAGGATCTTTTGGCTCTCCTCCTCCATACTTCTTCTTCCCCTTTGATAGATAGCTTTATACCTCCATTAATGGAGTTCAAGAGTTGTAATATGTAATTGGTGAGGAGAGCATATTAATGAAAAAGAGCGGGCTTGGACGTTAGCCTAAAAAGTCCCGTGGTTTTCTCCCTTTCCGGGTTTCCACGTAAAAATAGCTAGTTCATACACCTTATATATATTTTATTTATGTTTATACCGAATCCATCGTCCTTAATATCCGAAGTTTATGTTGGGCTTCCGGATCTGCGGGACAAAACCTCAACATGCACATATATAGATATATCTTCTCAAGCTATTCTATTGTGAATTCATTTTCATGTATTTAAAGTATAAAATAAACTGTTAATTATGCTCAGTTAACAAGTTTGGGCGAACAATTGGATCAAATTTATTAGCCTGTTTGGTTATATTGAAATTGCTTGAATCGATTAAATTAGTTAAAATTGACAAAGTCTAATTGAAGCAACTGCATTGACTGAATTTACTGATTTATAAAACAAATATACGTAAAGTGTATTTATTTACAAAATTAAGAAATTTTAAAAACTTTTCTTCAAATAAATTTTTTTATAAAAAATTGCTGAAACAAAAGTAATTTTCAAAAATAAGACTAAAATTATTGTGGATATAATGTCATGGTCTCATGATGTGAAAATTGACCATATTTGACCATTTCACATAAATTTGTACTTCATATTTATGTATCTATTATCTATTATTATAATCTAAAAGCAAAATAACTTTGGGCTGAATTTTCCCTCCCAAAAACGTCACTTTAAGATGTGTTGTCTAATGTGCAATATTACATTATTGGCTGAGGGGTTCGGTGTGTAAAAATCGGAAAGTTAGGGCACATATGTGAGAATTTTGCAAGAAATGAGTGGAGTAGGCCGTTCGAGACACTGTACAGATTTAATTTGGATTTGCCACTGACCGTGCTTCATTTTCATTGGACGGTTTGGTTGCTGAGCAGTTAATATACGAAAGAAAGGTCAATTATTGGTTTTGCTTTGCTGTAACGATTTAGAATTAAAATTTTGAAAATCAGTTTCCCCCCAGATCCAAAAACAATTCTGATTGGTTGAAGAACATTGTAAACTGTTTGGGTTGGATTAGGAAGGCCCATTTTCCTGTTATAAAAGCAGCCATACTCAGTGTTATAGCACCACATTCATACGTATCAAGGTAGCTAAAAACACAACAAACTTTTCTGGCAAATGGTTAGCCGCATGTGGTCTCTATTCCGAGAGATAGACCAAAGCAAAACGCCTTGGGAAATCAAGGCAAGGGCGATACGGGTTTAGTGAGAGCCGGCTCATGACTGCTTCCCCAAGTCTTTGGAGGTCGTCTTTCATGATGAGGAGATTCGGTTTCTATGATTTACGTACATATTATGTTTGTCCACATCTTTTATAAAAACTTTGATGCAAAATCTTTTTGAACTTCAGGGTTCCAAGATGCACGCACACATCCCAGATCAGTTCATTATTCACTACTGTAAAATTGCAGTAATTGAATAAAAAGTCTCTTTTGGATTGATTTATTGAAATGTGATCAAAATAGTTTTTGTGCATCTCTTTCGTTTGGAAAATGTGCACTGGATTATTATACTTCTAACGTTGATAGTTTATGATGTGCTTGCAGACTTATATACCAGACAGAAGAATTATACTTCAATGTGATTTTGTAAATATGTGATTATAAAACAATTTCCTGTTTTATAGAAAAGTTGTATGGATCCATGTAAGTGTGTGATTTGAAAACAATTTGTAGACCAGACATGGATTGCCACTTTATTTCAGGTAAAGTTATAGAACGAAATATAAGTTGAAGCTGTGCGTAGGGAAACGTACCGGTAGCCTGTTCCAGGGTAGACTGTGGTGCCCTAAATCATAGAGACCACATATCTAATTATTACAACATTTACAACATTAAATTAAAAAAATGGGAGGGGGGGTGCATGTAGTGTGTATTCTTCAGAAATCGCTGAACAATCCCTACAATTTATACATGTAAACCTTCGTTAGAAGTCGGCAAAAATGCAAATATTTGTATCCTCCAGATTAATGAATAATGCAGAATTGACGTGAAGACCCTAAGTTCTAATCTGTATAAACCCTACATGTTTAATGTTCAGAGAGGTATAGTTCGAGGTATGGTTCGAGGTGCAGTTACCTAAAGCTTTGCTTTTTATGTTCTACTCAGATGTAATATAGAACACACTGCTTTCTGTGCCTACTGTGGATGGCTTTCATGTGACTTATTTTAATGGTATTGTGAGTAAAAAACGATTCGGTGTTCTAATAGAAAAGTTTAGTGGACCATGCAAGTGTGTGTTTACAAAAAAATATGTAGTCATTGTTTGCAGTTCATTATAATTTAAAGGTATAGAACAGAAATATCAGTTGAATAATTGAATGGAGAAGTGTACCTCTTACCTGTCCCGGTGCAGCCTGCGTTGTCCTAAATGTACCCTATATCTTATTATTACAACAATTTAATGCTTAAATTAAAAAAAATAAAAGGGGGGAGAGGATTGGCATGTCGTAGGCAGTCTTCAGAACCAAACACTAATTATCCTTGAAGATCCCTACAAATTTTACATGTAAACCTTTGTTATAAGTCATCTCAAATGCCAATCTTTTTATGGAAGAGATTTATGAGTAAAGAAGACTTGAGGTGAATAGCCTAAGGTAAAACATGTATAAAAATTTGGCAGCAATCTGAAATGCTTAAAAATTGAACCTGTTTTGATTTTAAGCAATTTGGTGGGAGAATATTTCTTACCAATATTAGGGAAAAAATGTTAACAACCCAGTACACAATAAACTATCCAGATAAAACTCCACCACACACCACCCCCCTGATTGGCTGGCATGTCCAGGGCAATTCGTTTTACCGTGGCAATTCGTAAGATGGATACACAATAAACTATCCAAATAAAACTCCACCACATACCACCCCCTGATTGGCTGGCATGTTCAGGGCAATTCGTTTTACCGTGCAATTCGTAAGATGGATACACAATAAACTATCCAGATAAAACTCCACCACATACCACCCCCCTGATTGGCTGGCATGTCCAAGGCAATTTGTTTAACCTTAGCAGTTCTTATATTGTTTTTAATTAATGATGATACAAGCTTTTGTGCCCTTACGGTGCTATTGATAGCATCATATTATTATAATAGATAATAAATTCTGCCTACTATGTAACACATTGTAAATGATTTGGGAAGGTTTATCTTATAAATGCACAACATCATTTGGCAATTTTGGACTTCTTTGATTTAAAAGGGTTGAATAAAAAATTATAAAAAATTTCAAAACCATTAAAATAATTTCAGTTTTGAAAAATAAACTATTTTTTTTAATAAATACACTTGATATTAAAAATCTTTAATACAATTGACTCTGAAATTCTTGAACAAATAATATCATGGTATCATAAAATACATTGAATTTGAAGTTGTGATTATTGTTGTAGGTTGGGGTTTTAAACGATTGAATTTGAAGTTGTGATTTTTTATAAAGAAAGAGAATTTGTGACCGGTCGAGTTAATCGAAGCATTTAAGTTGGGCGTTTGGGAATGGGAGGTCCGATGTGTTAAAGACTTGAGGAGTGGGTAGTGTTTGAGTGGTTCAAGAATATTAAATGGTAGTAGCGGGTGGTGGGTGGTTGGAATAAAATGATGTGTTTTGAATTTTAAATGTTTGCTTAATTACGCAGGGTTGCTCATTACTTGGTTTGTACTTCTCAATTGTGTCTAGATTCTTCTTTCAAAAATTTTGTTTTAGTATTTTTTTTGCGCCTTATAAAATTGACGGGGTGTTTTATAAAAAACCTAGAAATTTCTAGATTTTCCTAAAAAACGGGCTCTGATTAAATAAATATCTAAAAACTACATTATTAGTGATTTGAAAAAAAAACGATGTGAAATTATATCATATATATTAATAACGAAAAAGCAAAAAAAAAAAATAGAAATATGTTTTTGGAGATTATTATTAATATTTTAATATTTTTTCAAAGCTAATTAATAAATTTTAAGTGGGGTACATGCGAAAAATAATTTGGAAAAACCGGTATGATGAAAAAATTTACTATGTTTGTTAAAAAATGCTTGATTAATGTTTCCGCAAAATTTTGGGTAAATTTTTTTGGGTTAATGTTTAAATCATGGTGGAAAAATAGACAGGCGTTCGGATCTTGCAGATCTATGTGTTTAATCCTTGATGTGTTTTGGACTATATTTTTTCGGTTTTCATTCTTACAAAATACAATTTTTTCAATTGAAAACCCTTTGTAAGTTGGGGGTTTGTCTCTGACAACCGAATGAGAAGAAAAAATGACAGATCAGGAGGTTTGTTAAGTTTTTTGGGTAAAAAATATATGTTCGTGTTGTTGGTGGTTAAAGAAGGTTGGTGTTCAGGAGTTGTGTTGTGTTCGTGCATGTAAAGGGTCGGGGGTAGGGTTTAAGTTTTGGTGTGATTTGGGATGAAGAAAGTTACCTGTGAAGCCTATTGCTTAAAGTCGTAGATCCATCCCCGTTGGTAATAGCTGGTGTCGTCTGGGGTCTTCGTCGCAGCGCTCTTGACCTCTCCTAATTGTCGTTGTTAGGGATCGACGGCGGAGTGCCGTCTCTGTATGGCGGAGAAGTGGTCTATGCTGTGGAGTTAGGTTCGGAGGTTGAGGATCCGACGTTTTTTCTTCAGGGGTGTTATTTCCGAGTTTTGACGGTGGGGTGCGATGGGGCGGTGGGTATCTTTTCCGATCTGCTGTGTTCGTTAGAGATGGAGTAGCTCTGAGTGTCGGATCTTTTCCAATCTTTTCAGGAGGGTTTGGGGTGGGGTTGACATGTTCAACGAGGATAAGGGTTTGGTTATTGGGCTTTGATTTTTGGGTTGTTTGGGCCGCCGGTGTTTTGTTTTTATGGGTTTTGCTGCGGAAATAAACTGGCTTTCGTTCTTTTGGATTTGAACCGAGTTAAGTGTTGGGTTTTTTCCAAAATTTATTTCATATGCATTAATTTTTTTAGCCTTTAAAATATTTATCCATTTTTTTTTCATTTTTTGTGCTGGCAATGAATATCTTTGTATATTCAATAATTAATATATTGTTCGCTTATAACATGTTATTATTGTGTTTTATAGTAGGTATCCGTTGCTTCGGTTTAGGTTATAGAGTAAGACACTTGTGTTTTTATTTAAGGACTGATTTTTGGTCGTGTTTTCATTTTTCCACAGAACTCCTTTTGTGTTATACTGGCATTTATTGTCGCGTGTTCCAAATTAATTCAAACTCCGTTAAAAGAATTGAAAAAAACTTAATGTTAATGCATGACGCGTATGTCGTGTTCTGATCGTGACGTTCGTTTCGAACCTAGCACTGCTTATAGTTATATTCATGCAAAGTATTACACTTTTAATTCTTTTCAAAGTATTTTTGGTTATTATTTCCTTTATGTTTGTGACTTTTTCTCAAAGTATTATTTTTTGGGTTTATAAAGAAGTTTTCAATAACGTTTAGCGTTGCATTGAAAATACTTATATGCCATGAGTGCGACACGAAGACTGATGCCACTCAAAATGTGGTTTATAAAGAAGTTTTCAATAACGTCTAGCGTTGCATTGAATTCAGTTTTTAACATATGTGTGTTGATCTTTGCAGAATTATTTTGGTTCGGTTATTATATTTATATGTTTAATAAGTATGATTTACGGTTTGTCTTGGATATAAGCCCAAATTGTTTAATAACTATGTTTAATACTTATGGTGTTGAAAAAATTATGAAGGAAGAAATAATTGGTTAGAAATTCACCGGCCGTGCATCGCACGGGTGAGTTACTAGTTCTGAATAATGTGAATAATGTGACTCGTACTAAGCTCAGAATGAATAAAGATTGTCCAAACCCCAAATTAAACTTCGAGACAAACCACTAAAGACGATAACTCGATAAGAGCAGATCATGTGGTTGTTGGATGATCAGGATTCAGGATCTAAATCATAACAACAAGCTGTATTCTTTTTTTTGGATGACACTCATGAAAGGTAGACTACGTACAAGATGAATTCTTATAAAATTTAACACGAGGCGTACAAGTTGGAATCTATTGACTTCAGGCATACAAGAGACTTTGTTCCTAGAAATAGAAAAATAAACTTGCAAGGAACATAGATTTAATAAAATGCAATATTGCACAAATGAAGAATGAAGAAAACAATGGCAAGGTAAAAATAGGACATCTGCATTTTATTTCGATGACTTGTTATTTCTGCCGGGAAAAAAATATGAACATGAAAGATAATACATCATGGCCTTGGATGAACATATTTTGTTCTAGGATCCACGATTAGACCCTTTCCACCATTAACTTCCAAATCATGCCTGCAATTATAACAAGCCATGTAAGCTAAAAGTTTCTTATCTGATCAATGAAGGGTGGCAATCACATCTGAAAGAAATATGTAATCCCTAGTTTAGTCTATTTGGATTCCACAATTTTTTTGTAGAATAAGATACTAAAAGGAATTGAAGTGCTTGGGTAGCGTAAAGAAAACTTACTGGAACACAAAATCTGGAATTGTGAGCTGTTCACGGGGAACATATCGGAATAGCTGGAGAAGGCGGTCAACGTATACAACTTTTTTCCATGCCTGGATTTAATTACACGTTAGAAAGGTTCAGCCTTTCAGCGAAAAAGGAAAATGTCCTAGATTCTATGGAGTATATTTTAGAGAAACTTTTTTTGAGAGAGAATATATTTTAGAGACTGGATTGCTGCTTCTCCGACTTTTTCTTCTTCCCTTTCTTTTGAAAAGAATAAAAGACGTACCTCATTATCCACAAGCATTTGCAATGCGAAAATGGCAGCCTTTAGTC